GGCAGGCGGACTCTCAACCACTGCGCCACCAGGGAAGCCCTATTTTTAGTTTTTTAAGGAACCTCCATACTGTTCTCCATAGTGGCTGTATCAGTTTCCATTCCCACCAACAGTGCAAGAGGGATCCCTTTTCTCCACACCCTCTCCAGCATTTATTGTTTGTAGATTTTTGGATGATGGCCATTCTGACTGGTGTGAGGTAATACTTCATTGTAGTTTTGATTTGCATTTCTCTAGTGATTACTGATATTGAGCATCCTTTCATGTGTTTGTTGGCAATCTGTATATCTTCTTTGGAGAAATGTCTATTTAGGTCTTCTGCCCATTTTTGGATTGGGTTGTTTGTTTTTTTGATATTGAGCTGCATGAGCTGCTTGTAAGTTTTGGAGATTAATCCTTTGTCAGTTGCTTCATTTGCAAATATTTTCTCCCATTCTGAGGGTTGTCTATTTGTCTTTTCTATGGTTTCCTTTGCTGTGCAACAGCTTTTAAGTTTCATTAGGTCCCATATGTTTAGTTTTGTTTTTTATTTCCATTTCCCTAGGAGGTGGGTCAAAAAGGATCTTGCTGTGATTTATGTCATAGAGTGTTCTGCCTATGTTTTCCTCTAAGAGTTTGATACTGTCTGGCCTTATATCTAGGTCTTCAATCCATTTTGAGTTTATTTTTGTGCATGGTGTTAGGAAGTGTTCTAATGTCATTCTTTTACATGTAGCTGTCCAGTTTTCCCAGCACCACTTATTGAAGAGAGGCTGTCTTTTCTCCATTGTATATTGTTGCCTCCTTTATCAAGGATAAGGTGACCATACGTGTGTGGGTTTATCTCTGGGCTTTCTATCCTGTTCCATTGATCTGTATTTCTCTTTTTGTGCCAGTACCATACTCTCTTGATTACTGTAGCTTTGTAGTATAGTCTGAAGTCAGGGAGCCTGATTCCTCCAGCTCCATTTTTCTTTCTCAAGAATGTTTTGGCTATTTGGGGTCTTTTGTGTCTCCATTCAAATTGTGAAAATTTTTGTTCTGGTTCTGTGAAAAATGCCATTGGTAGTTTGGTAGGGATTGCATCGAATCTGTAGATTGCTTTGGGTAGTAGAGTCATTTCCACAATGTTGATTCTTCCAAGCCAAGAACATGGTATATCTCTCCATCTATTTGTATCATCTTTAATTTCTTTCATCAGTGTCTTATAGTTTTCTGCATATAGGTCTTTTATCTCCTTAGGAAGGTTTATTCCTAGGTATTTTATTCTTTTTGTTGCAGTGGTAAATGGGAGTGTTTCCATAATTTCTCTTTCAGATTTTTCATCATTAGTGTGTAGGAATGCAAGAGAATTCTGTGCCTTAATTTTGTATCTTGCTACTTTACCAAATTCATTGATTAGCTCTAGGAGTTTTCTGGTGGCATCTTTAGGATTCTCTATGTATAGTATCACGTCATCTGCAAACAGTGACAGTTTTACTTCTTCTTTTCCAATTTGGATTCCTTTTATCTCTTTTTCTTCTCTGTTTGCTGTGGCTAAAAGTTGCTAAACTATGTTGAATAATAGGGGTGAGAGTGGGCAACCTTGTTTTGCTCCTGATCTTAGTGGAAATAGTTTCAGTATTTCACCACTGAGGACAATGTTGACTGTGGGTTTGTCATATATGGCCTTTATTATGTTGCAGTAAGTTCCCTCTATGCCTACTCTCTGGAGGGTTTTTATCATAAATGGGTGTTGAATTTAGTCGAAAACTTTTTCTGTATCTATTGAGATGATCATATGGTTTTTATCCTTCACTTTGTTAATATGGTGTATCACATTGATTGATTTGCATCTATTGAAGAATCCTTGCATTCCTAGGATAAATCCCACTTGATCATGGTTTGTGATCCTTTTAATGTGCTGTTGGATTCCGTTTCCTACTACTCAATACACTAGTGTATTGTTTACACAGCCTCCATGTGTTTGTATTTTTTACAGATTTTTTCCTGTAATTGACATTTAATCTCATAGCGTTGTGGTTGGAAAAGATATTTGATATGATTTCAATTTTCTTAAATTTACCAAGGCTTGGTTTGTGACCCAAGATATGATCCATCCTGGAGAATGTTCCATGAGCTCTTGAGAAGAAAGTGTATTCTGTTGTTTTTGGACGGAATGTCCTATAAATATCAATTAAGTCCATCTTGTTTAATGTATCATTTAAAGCTTGTGTTTCCTTATTTGTTTTCATTTTGGATGATCTGTCCATTGGTGAAAGCGTGGTGTTAAAAGTCCCCTACCATTATTGTGTTACTGTCAATTTCCCCTTTTATGGCTCCTAACATTCACTTTATGGATTGAGGTGCTCCTATGTTGGGTGCATAAATATTTACAATTGTTATATCTTCTTCTTGGATTGATCCCTTGATCATTATGTAGTGTCCTTTCTTGTCTCTTGTAATAGTCTTTATTTTAAAGTCTATTTTGTCTGATATGAGAATTGCTACTCCAGCTTTCTTTTGGTTTCCATTTGCATGGAATATCTTTTTCCATCCCCTCACTTTCAGTCCGTATGTGTCCCTAAGTCTGAAGTGGATCTGTTGTAGATAGCATATATACGGGTCTTGTTTTTCTATCAATTCAGCCAGTCTATGTCTTTTTGCTGGAGCATTTAATCCATTTACATTTAAGGTAATTATCGATATGTCTGTTCCTATTACCATTTTCTTAATTGTTTTGAGTTTGTTATTGTAGGTCTTTTCCTTCTCTTGTGTTTCTTGCCTAGAGAAGTTCCTTTAGCATTTGTTGTAAAGTTGGTTTGGTGGTGCTGAAATCTCGTAGCTATTGCTTGCCTCTAAAGGTTTTTTTTTTTTTTTAAAGGGAAAAATAATGTTCACTTTATTAAAAATATAATCCAGCAAAGGAAGCAGAGACAACCACGGTCACTTGTCCACCCTGGTCACACAGAGGAGGTGGAAGGGCCAGTATCAAGACCCTTACCTCCTCTGCCATCTCTACAGAACACCTTATTTTTGTCAGAAATGGAAAGATGGAGTGTCACTCATCGGGGAGACAGGGCCATCATGGAGGGTGGTTTCTTGTTGCCTTTGGTCAAGTAAGAACTGTGGGTCCTGTTTCCCAATTTTCTTGTTTCCACACTCACAGCCCCTTTTCATGGCCTATCCCCATTCCTACATTTAATCACACACATCTCAGTGAAAATGCTAGGGCTTTATTACAAATGGAGTTGACTGCTTAGGACCCCCTCTCCAATCTTTCTTTTCTACCCTCTACCTCTCAATACATCCCTCCAGGGCAGGTCACTAGGCCGTTAGGGAAGAGGAATCTGGGGACAGTGAAAAGGAGCAACGCTTTCTCCAAAGTCCTCTGAAATAACCATCAAGTCCTCCTGGTTCCAGCTGAGAATCTTCTGGTGGAAGGGGTGTGAGATTTAGCTCTTATCTTCAAGGTCCTCCATGTCTACATCCTGGGGGGCTTTTGTCTTCTTTTTTGATTTGGGCTGTGGTTCACTAGTCCTGGCTGACTTGAGGGGGGCTTCCACTTCCATGGCTGCTTTCTCTTTCTGGACGAGCCGGATCTGCTGGAGGAGTTTTCTGCGCTTCTTCCCAGACAGAGTAATGTTGGCACGTGCACTGGACGCCCGCTTCTTGAGGTGGTGCCTCGTGATCAGCCCTTCGTCTGTCACAGCCCTGACCACCTGGTGCTTCAGTCGCCACTCCCGGATCAACACCCGCTGTCGCTTGAACAGCTTCTTCTTCAGCTCCGTTCGCAGCCGGTTGATCTTTCCCCCCGGAGCACCCACTGCTGCGTTTGGCTATAAAGGTTTTAATTTCTCCGACCAATCTGAATGAGATCCTTGCTGTGTAGGGTAATCTTGGTTGTAGGTTTTTCCTTTCATCACTTTAAATATAACCTGCCCCTCCCTTCTGGCTTGCAGAGTTTCTGCTGAAAGATCAGCCATTAACCTTATGGGGATTTCCTTGTATGTTATTTGTTGCTTTTCTCTTGCTGCTTTTAATATTTTTTCTTTGTATTTAATTTTTGCTAGTTTGATTAATATGAGTCTTGGCATGTTTCTCCTTGGATTTATCCTATATGGGATTCTCTGCGCTTCCTGGAATTGGTTGACTATTTCCTTTCCCATATTAGGGAAGTTTTCAGCTATAATCTCTTCAAATATTTTCTCAGTCCCTTTTTTTTTTCCTCTTCTTCTTCTGGGACCCCTATAATTCAAAGGTTGGTGTGTTTAATGTTGTCCTAGAGGTCTATCAGATTTTCCTCAATTCTTTTCATTCTTTTTTCTTTATTCTGCTCTGTGGTAGTTATTTCTAATATTTTATCTTCCAGGTCACTTTTCCATTTTTCTGCCTCAGTTATTCTTCTATTGATTCCTTCTAGAGAATTTTTAATTTCATTTATTGTGTTGTTCATCTTTGTTTGCTCTTTAGTTCTCCTAGGTCCTTGTTAAATGTCCCTTGTATTTTCTCCATTCTATTTCCAAGATTTTGGACCATCTTTACTATCATTACTCTGATCTTTTTCAGGTAGACTGCCTATTTCCTGTTCATTTGCTTAACTGGTGGATTTTTACCTTGCTCCTTCATCTGCTGCATATTTCTCTGTCTCCTCATTTTGCTTAACTTACTGTGTTTGGGGTCTCCTTTAGGAGGCTGCAGGTTTTTAGTTCCTGGTTTTTTTGGTGTCTGCCCCCAGTGGGTAAGATTGATTCAGTGGGTAGTGTAGGCTTCCTGGTGGAGGGAACTGGTGCCTGTGTTCTGGTGGATGAGGCTGGGTCTTGTCTTTCTGGTGGGCAGGACCACGTCGGTGGTGTGTTTTGGTGTGTCTGTGAACTTATTATGATTTTAGGCAGCCTCTCTGCTAATGGGTGGTGTTGTGTTCCTTTCTTGCTAGTTGTTTGGCATGGGGTGTCCAGCACTGGAGCTTGCTGGTTGTTGAGTGGAGCTGGATCTTAGCATTGAGTTGGAGATCTCTGGGAGAGCTCCAGCTGATTGATATTAAGTGGGGCCAGGAAGTGTCTGGTGGACAAATGTCCTGAACTCAGCCCTCCCACCTCAGAGGCTCAGGCCTGACAGCCAGCCAGAGCACCAAAACCCTGTCAGACACATGGCTCTGAGAAGCAGTGGCATACTGGCATGCAATCTGGGAAGGATGTAGGACATGAGTAGAACCGGTGATGTTCTAAGCCAGGCCAGAGGTTGCAAGATTTTTTAGATTGCTGGTTTGTTGTAAAAGGATATAACTCAAAAACAGCCAGATGGAAGAGATGAATATGGCAAGATATGGAAAAGGGCGTGGAGCATCCATGCCCTCTCTGAGCATACCACGTGTTCACCAACCCAGAAGCTCCCTGAACCTTCCTTTACCAACAAATGTTTATGGAGGATTACATTAATAACACAATAGCTATTAGGTTTTAAATCCCTATAGTTAATCTTAGGGAATCTTTACCTATATAACCTAATGTAATTAAGCCTGGGCCACAATATCAGTGTTTTCTTTCCTCTTTGCATACTAGTTCCCTTTCCTTTTTTAGCTGGCTCTGAGGTAGGTGGCCATTCTTTATTATAGTCATATTCTGTACTTCGAATCAAGGTGTGATAGCTTATTCTATTGAGAATTCTAATCCTCTGAATCTGGATTTTACAGTGGCTTTTACATCATCCATCTAGGTGTGCTGTTTGGAGCTTTGTGTATTGGAATGGCTGCGCTGGCATCACTGATGGGAGCTTTGTTGCAGGTAAGAGCTAATCCTGGAAGGTTTGAGTCATAATCACTAAATTCTTCTCCTTTTCCTTTTTTTTTTTTTAAGCATTGATGTGACCATCCTTACAGACTTTTCTCTCTATATGTCTACACATAGACATACCAAGGAACATAGATGGCTAAATTCTTAAAAAAATTTTTGTTAAATAATCTTTCCATTTTGAGATGATTATAGAGTTACATGCAATACTAAGAAATAATACAGAGAGATCCCATATACCCTTTACCCAGTTCCCTCAGTGGTATGAGACCTAGGTTGGTGTTCTTTTTTTCCCTTTTCCCGGTGGATGTCCTGTTGCTCTAACACCACGTGTTGTGAAAGCTGTCTTTCTTCCATTGAATTGCCTTTGCACCTGTGTGAAAAATCAGTGGGGCATATTTGTGTGGGTCTGTTTGTGGTTTCTTTGTTCTATTCCATTGATCTATGTGTCTATCCATCTGCCAAGGTCATACAGTCTTGATTACTATAGCTCTGTAATAAGTCTTGAATTCAGAAGTACTGATTCCGCCCACTTTATTCTTATTTTTCAAAATTGTTTTAACTGTTCTAGTTCCTTTTCCTTCCCATATAAAGTTTAGAATAATCTCTATATCTAAAAAAAATCTTGCTTAGTTTTTGATAGGATTGTCTTGAACCTGTAAAACAATTTGGGAAGAACTGACATTTTTACTGTGTCGAATCTTTTAATCCATGAACATAGTGTATCTCTTCATTTATTTAGATTTTCTATGATATTTTTCCCACCACTACTGTGTAATTTTCATATACAAGTCATGTTTATATTTAGTTAGATTTACACCTAAGTATTTCATTTTTTTTGAGTGCTTGTACACGGTATTGTATTCTTAATGTTGGTGTCCATGTGTTTGTTAATATATAAGGATACAATTGATTTTTGTATATTTGTTTGTATCCTGTGACCTTGCTGAACTTATTAGTTCCTGGGATTTTCTACAGATAAAATTATGTCATCTTCAAATTGGGATAGTTTTATGTCTTATTTTCCAATCTGTATATGTACCTTTAATTTCCTTACTGCCCTGGCTTCAACTTCCACATCATGTTGAATAAGAGTGGTGAAAGTGGACATCATTGCCTTGTTCTCCAATCTGAATGAGAAATTCAGTGGTTCATTCTTGAGTACATTACCTGTAGGATTTTTGTACATGCCCTTTACCAAATTAAGGAAATTCCCCTCTATTCCTATTTTTCTGAGAGTTTTTATCATGGATGAGTGTTGAATTTGTCAAATGGTTTTTCTGCAGCATTCAATATGATAATATGATTTTCTTCTTTAGCCCTTTAACATGGTGTATTATGCTGATTGATTTTCAAATTTTAAGCTGGCATTGCATTCCTGGAATAATCTTCTCTTGGTCATGGTGTATAGTTATTTTTATATATTGCCGAACTCTATTTGCTGATATTATGCTAAGAATTTTTGCATCTATATTCATGAGAGATGCTGATCTGTGGTAATATTTTTTTGTAATGCCTTTTCTTGGTTTTGGTGTTAGGGTCATACCAGCTTCATAAAATAAATTGGGAAGAATTCTCTCCTACTTTCTGGAAGAGATTGTGTAAAATTTGTGTTAATTCTTCTTTAAGTGTTTGGTAGAATACTCTAGTGAAACCATCTGGGCTTGGGGGTTTCTTTTTTGGGAGTTTAAAAATTATGAATTCAGTTTCCTTAATAGTTATAGCTGTTCAAATTATCTGCTTCATAGTGGATGAATTATGGCAATTTGTGTTTTCGAGGAATTGCTCCATTTCATCTAAGTTGTCAAATTTAGGTGTGTGGAATTATTCATAGTATCCCCTTATTATACTTTTGATGTCTGCAGGGTTTTTAGTGATATCTCCTGTTTTATTCATAATATCGGTAATTTTATCTTTTATCTCTTTTTTTAGTCTTGCTAGAGGTTTGTCAATTTTTATTGATATTTTGAAAGAACTAGCTTCTTGTTTCATTGATTTTCTGTATCGTTTTTCTATTTTAGATCATTGCTTCTTTGAATTATCTTCATGATTTTCTTCCTTCTGCTTGCTTTGGGTTTATTTTGCTCTTCTTGAGGTGTGACACTAGATTACTGATTTGAGACTTTTTTGTAATGTGTGCACTAATTGCTAAAAATCTCCCTCTCCGCACTTTTAGCTATGTCCCATAACTTTTCATATTTTGTATTGGAGTTTTAAATTTTCCTTTGACATGTCCTTTTGACCTGTGGATTATTTAAAAGTATGTTATTTAGTTTCCAATTGTTTGGGGATTTTCCTGTTATCTTTCAGCTATTGATTTCTAATTTCATTCCAATGTGGTCAGAGAACACATTCTGTATGATTTTAATTCTTTTAAATTTGTTGAGGTCTGTTTTATGGCCCAGGATATAGTATTTTGGTGTCTGTTACATGGGCACCTGAAAAGAATGTGTACTCTGCTGTTGTTAAGCATAGTGTTCTACAGGTGTCAATTAGATCCTGCTCATTGATGGTGCTGAGTTCTTCTGTATCCTTCTGATTTTACGCTTATTTGTTTTTATCAATTGTTGACAGAAGTGGTGAATTCTCAACCTATAGTGTGTAGTTGTCTCTTTTCCTTTTAGTTCTATTAGATTTTGCTTGTATTTTGCAGTTCTCTTGTTTGGTGCATATACATTTAGGATTTCTATGGCTTCTTGGTGAATTAGTCCTCTTATCATTATATAATGTTCCTCTCTGATAATTTTCTTTGTCTGAAAACTACTTTATCTGATATTAAATAGTTGCTCCTGGCTTTCCTTTGATTAATGTTTGCATGATATCCTTTTACTTTGAACTTGACTATATCATTATATCTTAAGTGAGTTTTTTGTAGACAGCATATAGTTGGGTTATGTTTTTAAATTCATCCTGCCAATCTCTGTCTTTTTATTGGGGTATTTAGACTTTTAAAATTTAGTATAATTATTGAAATATTAGGGCTTAAGCCTGCTGTTTTTTGTTATGTTTGTTCTTTCTGTTTTCATTTTTTTAAGTGGGATACTTAAACATTTTTTAGAATCCCATTTTGATCTATCTATATTGTTTTGAGTTTGTCTCTTAGTGTAGCATTTTCATTTGTTGCTTTATGTGTATATACATAACTTATCACAGTCTACTTGTTTTGTCCTTTTACCAATCCGAGTAAAGTATAGAAATCTTATGTCATTTCTGTCTCTTTACCCAGTTTATAACACAATTGTCTTAAATATTTACTCTGCATACATTTTGAATTACATTAGACAGTGTTATAATTTTTGCTTCAACAATCAAACATGATTTAGAAAACTCAAGAGGAGGAGGAAAGCCTATTATATTTATTTTTGCTTATTGTGTTCTTTCTTTCTTCCTGATTTCTCAAGGTTCCTTCTTTTACCATTTCCCTTCTATTTAGAGAACTTCCTTTAGCCGTTCCTTTAAGGATAAGTCTGCTGGCAACAAATTTTCTTGGTTCCCCTTTATCTGAGAATGTATTGATTTCCCCTTTATTCCCAAATGATATTTTTGCCAGGTATAGGATTCTGAGTTGACAGTTCTTTTTTTCCAACACTTGAAAAATATTGTGCCACTTTCTCCTGGCTTCCATTATTTTTAAGGAGAAATCTGCTGCATTCTAATTGTTTTCCCCTATAGGGAAGGTGTCATTTTTTTTCCTCTGGCTGCTTTCAGAAATTTTTCTTTGAAGTTAGTTTACAGAAGTTTAATTACGATGTGTCTTGGCATGTTTTTCTTTGGGTTTATTCTGTTTGTAGTTTGCTTAGCTTTTGAATCTGTAGGTTTATGTTTCTTGCCAAATTTGGGAAGTTCAAACATTATTTCTTTGAGTACTTTTCAGCCCCACTCTCTTTCTTTTCTTACCTAAGACTCGGATGACATGAATGTTAGATTTTTTGTTATATTCACACAGGTCCTGGTGACTAATTTTTAAGCCTATTTTCTCTCTGTTTTTTTCAGATTCGGCAGTTTTTATTGGTCTATCTTCCAGTTCACTGATTCTTTTCTCTGTCCCCCCAATTCTGCTGTTGAACCTATCCACTGAGATTTTTATTTAAGTTATTATATTTTCAGTTCTAAAATTTACATTTTGTTCTTCTTTATATCATCTATGTTGTTTTTTTCTTTTTTTTTTTTTTTTTTTGGCATTACGCGGGCCCCTCACTGCTGTGGCCCCTCCCGTTGCGGAGCACAGGCTCCGGACACGCAGGCTCAGCGGCCATGGCTCACGGGCCCAGCCGCTCCGCGGCATGTGGGATCTTCCCGGACCTGGGCACGAACCCGTGTGCCCTGCATCAGCAGGCGGACTCTCAACCGCCGCGCCACCAGGGAAGCCCTCATCTATGTTTTTGCTGATACTTTTTTTTTTTTTTTTTTTTTAAGGCCTTTTTCTTTTTTTTTTTTTTTTTTTGCTAAGGCCTTCTACTTTTTCATTTGTTTCAAGTATGTTCTAATTGCTGAAGCAGTTTTATCATGGCTGCTTGAAAATTTGTGAAATAATTCTAATATATCTGTCACTTCTCTATCAGCATTTATTGATTGTCTTTTTTCATTCATTTTGGGATCTTCCTAATTCCTGCTCTGAATAGTGAACTTCACTTGAAACTTGGACATTTTTATATTATGTGGTGAGACTCTAGATCTTACATGCACCTTCTGTTTTGGTTTTCTTTCTCTGATACCACTTCAACAGTGTAAGGGAGGGAGCTGTCTCATTACTGCCAGGTGGATGTAGATGTCCAGGTCCCCAAGTTGGCCTCTGTTGACATCCAAGGGAGGAATTTCTTATTTTGCTGGGTGGGAACAGTCTCCACTGACATCATGGTGAAGGTGGTCTTGTTCCTGCTGGGCAACAGTGAAAGTCCTGATTCTCCATTAGGCCTCCTATGACATTGCCTGAGCGGAGAGGGAATGAGGTGCCTTGTTATAGGCTGGTGAGGGATGGAATCTAGGCTCCCTAC